ATAAACTTCCATGAGTGGATGTAAGGTGGGAACAGAAAAAGAACATCATCAAGTGGTCTGAAGACCGCCTTTGGCCCCTTTGGCACAGCTCCATGTCTTCTGGGCTGGCTCCTGCTCCCGCAGCTCACGGGGTTTCTGAAGGCCATGGTCTTTGCCTCGCTCTTGGCACTCTAGGGCACTCACCTGTCGAGAGATCGCATCTCTCCTTTTCATGGTCTGTTTCTTGGTAGTTTGAGTGGTACCTTGGTCTTTCCTACAAACTGGCCTGCCCCCTGTGATGGAGAGCTGCTTTCTCTCTCTCAAAAGGGAGCCTCTTGCTGGTCTCCATTCTTGCTTTATCTTGCTGCAGAAGGGGCTCTCAACACGTGCTGACCTAGAACTGCTGTTGACTGAACTTTGTAATTACAAAGATTGTACTTTTGGCACCTTGGGCTTAATGCTGAAAGCCTCATCATTATATAATAACTTATCAGTCAGAACTTGTTCATCTAATTTGATTTCTAAAATATCAAATTAGATCTGATTTTTCTTCATCTATATGATTTCTAAAACAAAACAGGCTATTACCCACCCCCACACTTTCTAGGAGACTATAAACTGTTGATCACAGTACATAGGATGGTGCTGCTGACACAGGTATTTCCTGTGCTTGATTTTAGCAAGAACGTTTAGTTGACTTTATTTTGCATATTTTACCTCATCAGTAACTTATAGCACACTCCATCCCAGACTCACAGCCTAGGAAGCAGGTGCATTAAGATAACCGTGCCAGGGAAAAGAAACGAGGAGAGCTCAGCTTACTGTGCTAAAGGTTTGGCAGCAGTTGCTCTTCAGGGTGACACTGTTTGCTGGGGTCTGTCTCATTCCAAGGAAAATACTGTATCTACAAGAGTAGTTTCCTTCACAGCCTCTTCGATGAAAGGTCCCTTCCCCATGTACCAAGAAAGGAAAACTCTGGAGAGTTGGCCCATCGGCCATCTGTCAGTTGGTTGTGCTGTGGCGGCTTGTGTGGGTCATGGCAACCCTCCGATGCAGTGTCGAACTGTTTCAAAGGGTCTGTAAGGCTGTGACCTTTTGGAAGCAGGGCATTAGGTCTGTGTTCTGAGGCAGTTCTGGGGCAATTCAGTCCGCCAACTTTTGGGTTACTAGTCACTGCTCAAACGTTTACATCACCCACTTGATGAGAACTAACAACAACAACAACAACAACAACAACAACAGTAGTGGTTCTCCAAATACCAGCAAGGCCACTCACTCCCAGTGGACAGATTTATGTGGAGTTTCTAAAGTTAGATAGAGTAGGAAGAAAAGGTTGTTGACCTGCTTCTGAAAATTAGCCTGGGAAAACCTATGGTTCACAAAATGATGATATCTGATATGCTGGAAGATGATACAGGCATGGACAATATTTCATTCAGTTACGCGGGAGCGAATTCAATGGCAACTCTGATGGTTCATGTCAACTTGTCTGGGCTGTGATTCTCAGTGGTTTGGGTGACCTGGACTGATGGTTCCTCCATAATCTCTTTTGTGTTTTGAAATGAGCCAATTACAATTGATTGAAAAGCTAATCAGTTCCCTTGGGGGGATGATCTGCATCTAATATAGATGGACGCTGTCAGAACAAGTCTTGCTCCCTCTTGATCCTGCATCTAACTTGTCATCTTGATTTCTCCTGGACTTGAGCCAGCAGCTTGTCTCACCTGGAGATTTTGGGATTCTCTTATATCTCATGAGCTGGCAGCCAGCCTCTTGACCTGAAGATTTTGGGTTAACCCTTGTAAGCACATGAAAATTAACCTGTAGTCTGATGCCTTCATCATGGATTTGGACCAGCCTTCATGACTGCCAGATCCACTTCCTTGAAATAAATCTCTTTATACACCTATATACACATATGGGTTTCCTCTTTTAGAGAATTCAGCTGAAGACATGAACTATCAATAACAAATAGTCATGAATCAAAAGTAACAATAGTAAAAGTAGCAAACCATTGCCACGTAGCCAGGGCATACTTTGGCCACCCTCACTTCAATCTTGGCCATCTCGTGCGCACTTTTTTATGAAGTAGAGACACCTGGGCTCCTGTTTTCCTGAGGTCCACCGTGTTCCTAACAGAATATTCCTTTAAGGCCCTTAGAATGGCAGTTGTTGTAATTTCCTGGCAAAAACTTGTGCAGAAGATGGCATCCAACAGACCCTGCACCACAACAAGGTGACGATTAAACGGATTCACGTTTGAGGCATGTTCTCATATGTGCAGCCCTCAGTAAAAGTAATGAAAACGTGGCAAATGTGCTTTTCAGATGAATAACAGGCCATCCCCACTCCTCATTTGGGGGGTCAGTTACCAGTTAGTATGAAATGAAACATCTGCCTCCACCTCACCATGGCTGCGCCCCGAAATGGAACAGTGCACTGAGTGCCCTAAGCTGTCAATTAAGTCTTTGTGCCCTGCCCCCCATAAGTGGGGCCTCATGTTTGCCTTAGTCTTGAAAAAATATGTCAATTTGGGGGTGGGGGGAGGCACAAAATGTATTAAAAACTACTGCTAGCCCAAATGATTAAAAACTAAGTTGGCTTATGTAATTTATAAGGAATATAAAATTGGGATGATAAAGGTCATTTTTAGTGGAATAAAGCACTTGTGGAATAAAGCCTATCCCAATTTGAATTCCAACGAATGCAATTAATATTTACTATATTCCATTACAGGGAATACATGTCCCTTATGACTTCTGCATGAATGACCCAAGGAGGCATTAAATATGAAATTTACCACCAAAGACCTTAGGAATAGGTTGCCAATTACACCAAGAGGGAGGTAGACAAAGTTGAAATAAACTAAACCTTGCTTAACACTCTTATTTTTTTCCTGGGTAACGCATCTAAAGCAGACAGTGAATTATCCCAGCATAGTATTCCTTGGTTAAATGCCTCAACAGAGGGCCTGGTAAGTGCAAAAATCTTCCCAAAACAACCCTCATAGTGTTTTGTGTCAGTACCCGTATCGCTTTATTGTTATCAGCTGCTGAGAATCAGCCCCCACCTCATGCTGACCACATGCACAACAGATGAGTTGCGACACCTCACAACTTTCTGATTGGCTAATTTCATCCTACTTATTGCCTAGGGAGAATGGAGAAACTCCGAGGTTAAGTTGGGAAACCTGAGCTCAGCACTGGAGAAGATGCTGCTCCCATCCCTTCCCATTCAGGTGAGCAAATGATGAAAGGGGTCTGTGAGGGACTCTCATCATCTATCCCGTATAGACGAGCGCATCAGAGTTCTAAAAGGCCTCATGGAGCCTGCCACTCGATGGGGACAGAGCAGGAGGGGTGGTATGGAGCCCCAGCTCTGTGCCGAAGTCCTTTCTCACAGCTGTAAGCACTTACAAAGGAACCATTCCTTCCTTCGGATTCCCAGACACAAATACAGAATGCATGGATCCCAGCTCTTCCCCACAGATGAACATGTGTTTTTGTGGAAAGACCACACAGAACAGTAAGGGTTTATACTGTTTGTAGGTTGGGTCTCAATTGACCATTTAGCTCATGTCAAAATATAGAATGGTCAATTCAGCTGGAAGGAATATAGGGATCACCTTTGTTGGGACATCCCTATACTCCCAGCAGGGCAGCTTGGTAAGACAGATTTCTGGACCTCATTCCCAGAGGTTGACTCAGGAGGGCTGAGGCAGGGTGGGGATGCTTTATTTCTATCAGTTTCTAGTTCCTGGGTGATGCCAAGACTGTCAATCCATGAAGGATTAAGACACCGTCTCTACTTCTCACTCTGGGAGGTCAGTTGCCAAATATGAAACATCTGTGTTTATACCAATTCGGCTGCTGCCTAACATTTAGTTTGATTAGCAGTGACTGATGATACTTGAAGCCAGGGTGGTTCACTGGCACACAGGCATCCCCTGGGTACAAATAAGCTCCGGCTTTTGTAATCTGTAGTTAAGTCAGAACAGGTGCCTGTAGTTCTTATTTCTTTAGTGCCAGCAAAGACACAAAAGACTTCTTAGTGACGAAAAAGCTGTGCTTGCAGCAAGCAAGGGCGACTGTGATGAATAGCTGGTTCAGCTTCCATGCATGCTGCTCTCATGTTGAAGAGTGGAACTTCCAGGCAAGGATGAACTAGATAGAAAGGTATGCTGAGCTATTTCTGAAAAATCAGCCAGTGCAAACCCTATGGATGACCACAAGGGTCGAACCCTTAACCAGTCATGTGAGCAGGTTGCCATGAGTCTGGGGACTGACCCAACATCCACTGACATGATACCGTATTTTAGCATGGGCTGCCGACATTGTTAAGGGGCAAACAGTTTTTAGGTTTGCCAGTGGTAAAGTCTACCACATGTACTTAACCCTGCCACCGCAGCACAAAGATGGCGGCCATAGGTTGGTGTGGCTGGCTTGAGGAAACTGACAAAAAGCAGGAGTTAGCTGTAGTGACCCAGCACATTCTTAGCAATTGGCTCCCGCCTTCTTTCCCAACTCTCCTTGGCTTACGGTGTAATGTGGCCACAATCCTGGCTTTTCCTATCTCCCTGGTCATAATGTAGAATGTAAGATCTACAAGCACGCATCCAAATATTCTGCATCGTATTCAGTTTGTCCCATCTTATTAGCTACGCTAATCTGAAGTACTATGTCCCATCTTATTAGCTATGCTAATCTGAAGTACTATGTCCCATCTTATTAGCTATGCTAATCTGGAGTACTATGTCCCATCTTATCGGCTATGCTAATCTGAAGTACTTCTTTATAAGATAAATAAGAATGGAAAAGGGGACAGAATGGGTAATTTAGAAACTTTGGTGTTAAAAACAAAAAATTCATATAGGAACGATGTCTCCTCTCCATAAAGTAGATGTAACAAGTCAAGTATTTAAGAAGGCTAACAAGATGAAACAATTTAGGACATCCTAAAAGAAACAGCTTTTATCAAGTAGTTCAATTACAAACCATTCTATAAAACAAAGACATAACCAAGAAGTTATATTATTTTTTATTCATGTTAGAATTTCTATCAGTGTTTGAACATTAATATTTCGAGAGTTTGTACATTTTCGCCTTCCCAGGAGAACCACACTGGGTCACAAATGGTAACTAATACACGTTTCAAAATTGCTTGAATATTCATTCACTCTCTGAACACTGTTAAACATTTTTTTTCTTGCTTTATTTTACAATGAAAAGTGTGCCCCACTTATGTCTCAGCAAAGTTCCAGACATTATGGATTCATCACATATAAATTCTTTAAAAATATACTTCTGTCAAAAGACTTGATGACTACTATGTACACTACAAAAATAAATTTTCATATAAATAAATTATATGGCATACTTTTATCTTTGTAATTGAAATGACACAAACCCATTTGCGTTGACATTGGCAGACAATGAGACGCAGTTTGAATTATTTCCTTTCAACAACTTACGTGAAAATCCTACCATGAGTTCTTAATGTCGATGTTATATACTCTGAACTATTTAACATTAGTAAGCACTCTATACAAATACATATTGTTCAAAAGTAAAACAGATGAAAGTGTTTCCAATACAAATAATATCCCTGCATTTTTTGTTATAAACTGGCATGACAAATACTGTAGGAAAACATTCTTATGATACAAAATTATAAATATAAGCAAAGGTTTTTAAAAAAAATTTAAAACATCCAAATGAACAAACAAGACAGACAAAATTAAAAAAAAATTTTTTTAAAGGAAAATTCTAGTTGCCTGTGACCTCGGGTTCTCCCTTTGCCCGTGTGATGATGGGAAAGGTCCTAAGGGAAGGCGGGAGGGATGGTGTGTGCCACACAAGCTGGGCTCAGGACAGGAGTGTGGGCACACCAACAACTAAGGAGAAGCCAACCGTAGAATTTTGCATAATGGCCCTACTCAGGAAGTACATTTCTCTGAGCAGGGTTGGGTGCTAGGTAGAGAGTGTGGCTGGCAGAAAGGCAACACAAGTAGCAGTGGGGTGACCAGGGTCCCTGACATACACACACACCTGGCAGCTGCAGGTGACGTCTAATTATTCTCAATTCCATCGGTGAGTTTTAGGGCCCAGGGTCACTACACTGCTAGTCCTACTGGGTATCCATTGACTTTCTGGTAAGATTTTCCATCTAAAACGTGAGGAGATAGTGGAGGATTCCTCGTTTAACAGTAGCGCAGTGTTTCACCATTGGAGAGCTGGTGCTGGCCCTTCCTTATCTGGAAAGAGCTGCAGGTGTGGATCTGGAAGGTGGCGGGGCACATCGTGCTCTCCCCGCATTTGCTGTACTCTGGCTACCACAGGCCAGGAAGACCAAACCTGAGCAAGAGAAGCGTTCTCACACAGAATCAAGTCTTTAAAATGGATGCCCAGTTTTATGCGCAGCCTCCGAATCTGTCCTTCAATAGGGTTTATGTAATTAGCACCTTGCTGCTCTTTAATAAATGCCACATGGAATCAACCATAATGACAAGGGGAGGAAGGCAAAGGATGCATCTCAATCTTCATGAGGTAAGGAGGGCCCTCCTCTAAGCCCGCCTTTTGCAACATCTGGCTATATTAGCATATGGCTTGCTCTCTGTTTAAGATGCAAACACATCCAGAAAACCCCAACCAACTGCATCATTTAGGGAGAGAGGGCGTTTCAATCTTACGGACCCCAAACACCATCTCTTGAGTTTATTATGGGCCCAGAATCAACAGAACCCATTTCCTACCTGTGGCAAGGCCATGGGCTCCAAAGGATTTCCGTGTGTGTGTGTGTGTGTGTGTGTGTGTGTGTGTGTGTGTGTGTGTTTCAGAGCCCAGGCTCCAGACCTCGTCAAGCTCCTGTGAGGCACGTCATCTACTTCTTCACTACTGAGGACGACAGGCAGATGGTAGTTTTATGCCTGGAGGTTTTGACATCGCTCACATGACCCATGGGAAGAAACTCATCTCCTGGCAGCACAAGGGGAGCTGTCTGGATGACCACCCCTGACTTTAGGAGTTGCAATGGACCAGCAGCAAGCCCAGCTCTCCCTCTGCCATTTCAGAAGCATTAAACCTGATGTTCAGTATCCAGGGCTGGCCCTCCACTAGAACTGAGCAAGAACGAGAAGCTGGCTCTTCCAGCCTGATTAGTTTAGAGACCAGTGAGGGTTATGGTTTGTGAGAAGAAACAACAAAAAAAGACAGGTGGTGGTGGTAGTGGTGGTGAGGAATCACAGTATAGTACACGGGAAAACCACACGTGCTCACATGCACTGCCAAAGAAAAACTGCACACGAAGATGCCTACAGAAGCCACTGAGATTAACATGCTTTCTTCATATCTGCTCATAAAACGACAAAAATGATCACGCATAGCGTGTTTGAAAGTTAACAGTAACATTTCATACTACCACAGGGTTGTGATATGCAAATTTAGAATAGTTTAAACAGAAACCTTTACAAAATAATCCTATTACATAAGCCATATTTGCATAGAATTATACAGGTAAATTATACATACAATATGTAAGCAGCAGCACCGATATGCTGAAAGTTCAGACTAAGTTAAGCTTGGTTGGGGCACAAACAGGGAGACGCCACGTCAGCCTCTCCACTCTGGCCCAGGAGGGGAGGCAACTCGACTCCTTTACACTGCTCGTTGTTGGTTCGATCGTTCCTTCCTTCCTATATTACATGTATACACCTCTTAAATACTTATAGGAATATTTAACAAAATAATACAATCGGTTACAGTAACAACGAACTGCTATCCTGGGCGGGCAGCATGCATCCTTGCCAAACTCCGGGCAGTTCTCTTCAGGCAGTTCTGCAAGGGGGTGGGAATGGGGGTGGGGTTTCCCAATCTTTGGCCTCTTTGCTTCAGATTTTACACACCCTTTAAAAAGAGGAAGAGAAAGAGAAGTCATCATAGGTAAAAAGTATCTGAGCCCTTACTTATGAAGTGTAAAAACTTCTTAGAAATGGGGAGAATGACTGCCCTTTGGAGAGGGCTGGGAGAGCTAAGGAGACGGGGCTCCTCGGGTCGGGTCTTCACGTGGGGCGGGCGCGTTACTCCATGTGCTCACTTTGTGACATGGATGCGCTGTACACTTAGGTACGCGACAGCACAAAAATGGTCAAACCGTTCAGCTCCTCTGGTCAGTTGTGTGAACCCTCAATCGCGTAACAATTGGTTAGAAGTCAACTGGGTCCCCCAAGGGTGTCAAAGCTGGAACAGGGACCACACTTGTGGTCCCTGAGTGGTGCACAGAATGAACATGTTCTGCTGCAAAAGGTTAAAGGTTTGCGTGTACCCAGAGGTGTCTCAGAAGAAAGGCCTGGCAATCTACGTGGGGGAATATGAGCTGTGCGGAGCATAGTCCCCCTCTCACATGTGGGAGGAGCTGACTTGAAAGAAATGAGTCCGGGGATAGGGGCTCTTCTCTTTTCCAAAAGCTCAGTGGGGCTTCACCCGGACACACTCATTCTAAAAGGCCCAGGGCCTACTAGACAATGCAGCCCAAGGCACCCAGAGTAGCTCTTCTTCCCGCCTTTGGTGCCTCAGCTGCGACCTAAGAGCAGAGACTCCACAGCATCGTTCGCTCGCTCGCGGTACACACCTCAGTTAGAGCTGGTTCCCCGGGTCCTCGCCTCACATTCCACATCTTGCAGCTCTATGACTTCGACTTTCGAATCCCTTCTCTCGCACCGGACATTAAAAGGCACATGGGGGTCTTCGAACAGCCCATCCATCTCCGGGTGCTCCTCCCCTTCCGGGCAGAGCCCCCCCCAAGGGTTGCGGCTATGCCCAGGTCCCGGCCCGGGAGGGGGGTGCACGGCCACAGTCACGGAGGCAGAAGCTGTCACAGTGGTGATGGGCTGGCAGTAGCCGGGCCCGGAGCTGCCCGGGGCAGCGGACGCGGGGCTCCGAGGGTGCTGAGAAGTGGCTGCTCGGGGGCCCGTGCGCTCCCTCTTACTGGGGCCAGAAGCCCCTTCAGTAGACATTTCGAAAGCATCCCTGCGCAGTCTGTAGGGGGGCGGTCGCAACCCTTCTCGACAGAGCTCCCTTCGGGGTAGCTGGCCTGGCCTTCCTGGGGGCAGGGGCCCTGAGTCCAGGTGGGGCTGCTGGCGCCGGTTCAAGGGCGGATGGTGTCTGGAATCAGGATGGACCACCTGCAGAGGGTAGGGGCAGGTTAGAACAGGTAGGGTACTCACCAAGGCTGGGTATGGGCACCCGCTGATCCTGCCCCTCCCACCTTGGCTCCCGCTCAATGCCTTGCCACCCACATGCAGCACTTCCTTAACCCAGCGTGCAGACACTCCAGCCAAGATAGAGCTGAGGAGAGGAGGGCCTGGGGAGCCCAGAGGGACCTGCCACTCACAAAGGAAAAACTGGTTCAGGAACCTACAGGACATGCAATGAGCAACAAGGGCTCTTCATTGAGATCCTCTCGCCAGGCATTCTCAAACACGTGTGGTGGCTGTCCGTAAATACAGGGTGGTGGTCAGACAGCTGCCAAGTGACCTCACTCACACAGACCCCCCACCCCCCGTCCTGTTCCGTCTATCTGAGCCCAAGAGCCTCCTCTCCTAAAACCGCCAGCCCTGGTTCGTTCAGACGCAGGTTGCTGGCAGGACTGATTATACCTAAAGCCATCCACCACAGCAGCCACAAGAGGCATGTGGCTATTTAAATTTAGGTGGACTGAAATATAAAGTTCTGTCCCTCGGCTTCCCAAGTGCTCAGCAAGTAGCCACACGTGGCCAGTGGCGGTGAATTGGACAGGGAGCCAGGAAGCATTTCCATCACTGCAGAAAGTGCTATCGGGCAGCCAGGCTTGAGCAGACAGTTAGGACTCTGGTTTCTGGGTCTACACACAAAGCACAGAGAAGCACAGTGGCCACATCAATCAAAAGGACCGTGACCAACTTCAAAGTTGTTCAGCTTGTACCTATTTTTAGGCTCCCGCTGAACAAAACCAGACTCACACTGCAGCGCCGCAGGCAGCGCCATGGGGGGCAAGAAGAGGAAAATGTGGGTTATTTGGTTGGCCTTGCGTGCTTTCAAGAGGACTGCTTTGGCCTGGGACTGGAATACCCATTTCCTGGAGGGACAGCAGGAGGCCCTCCCTGGGAGGGACAGGAGCCTTAGAACCCTCCCTGTTTGGTTTGGTTTTTTTCTCCAGCAGTCCCTGTGGGGGCACACAGCCTGTGGGAAGGGCCTTTTCCCAGGCGGCCCCATGAAATTTTCCTGGATGACTGGAGGCTCAGAACTCAAGGGTGGTTCTCAGCTGAGCTTCTCTGCCCCCTCCCGCCACCTGGCATAGGGGCAGGATCTGCCAAGGGCAATCAAGGCTCTCACAAACACGGGGGCGGGGAGGGGGGCTTCTGTTGACCAAAAAAGTAGAAGAAAAAGAAGAAATGTGCATTATCCCTGGCATTTTAGCCCCCAAAGGATTTCCACAGAACAAGAGACTTGTTCAAGCTAATGCTTGCTGTAGTGACCGCCTTCTGTCCCTTGTGGTACTAGGCCAGTATGCATGAGAGACATTTTCAGTCTACTCTGATACATGTGAGGCTTGCCAGGAATGGAGTTCACTGATGGCAGGCAACTGGCATGTAGCTGTGTAGGCTCTGCTTTGTTTCCGTGCCCCATCAGTGTGATTTGCAGCTTGGAGTATGCAGGAGCTGCCTTGGAAACCCTCTGTGACCACTGTGCCCACCTCCAGCCCCGAGGGTGACTTACAGTGGAGCGGGCAAAGACGGGGTTTTCTGTGGCTTCCACAATCACTTGGTGGCCGGGCCCCCCGGCGCCCTGTTGCGCTTCATAGTGCCGAAGCTCCTCACTGATGCCGGACACTGTCGTCTGAGAACTGTACTCTGAGTCGGAGGAATCAGACCCGTTGTTTGTGTGGCTGGGGGGCACAGCAAATCTGACAATGCTGGGGGGCAGCTCGGGGGAAGGAGTGGGCAGCCGGTTCAGCCCATTGGCTGGAGACACCTATTAAGAGGATTGCATGTTAACAGTGTTCTTATCCATGGTTGGCCACACTCAAAGTTCAAAGCAGAGTCTTTATCCCAGGGCCCTGGCACGGCTCTGGAGCCACCTCCCCCATCAGGGAAAATAATTGCTCTTTGCTTGCAGACGCTGAAAAGGCAGGGTTTGCACTTTTTAATCTGTGCAAGCCCAATATCCATCTGGACTGGAAAGTGTATCACGTATGATGGGGCTCCACCAAGTTTGTGGAGTAATTCCACTACTTTTATTTTAGTTTTTTCCATGTACTCTTTGAAGCCCCCTAGTTTTTCTGTCTCCAGGACTCAAGCCGGCAAATCAATTGGTTTTAAAAAGCAACAGATCCAGTACAGCAGCCCCGCAAAGGGTGAAGGTGGAGAGGAAACGTTGCACTTCATGAGATGTTCACTGAAAATGTAAACAAGCAGCAACCCCGACTTTGCCCAAATATCTACATTTAGAGTGACAGCAGGTGGCCTGTGGGTGTTACCTCACACCATCGTGACTACTGACCTCAGGATATGGTCCAAAGAAGGACAAAAGGACTGGGAGCAGGACCAACCCATTCAGAACACCCAGGATGGTTAAGATTGCCAGGACTGCAAAAAAATACCTGGAAGAGAAAAGGGCAAGAGAGAACCCGGAATTAGGCTGTCCTTCACATGCCCCCAAACACCCAGAATTGGACACAACTCACCCCACTGAAAAGGCCGTTACAAATACTACCGTTCAAATTCAACACAGGATCCTTTTCTTTCTTTTTTTTTAAACCTTCTGGCTTTGAGGACTACATTCCACAACTCAAAGTGTGAGTTCATGGAGGGAAAGGGGGAAAAACTGAGTTTGTTAATTTGCTGAAATCTCGTGGCATGAAATGTTATTTATGAATGTGTTACACAAACACAAAAATATGGAATGCAGGCTGAATGGCCGCACAGACCGAGAGCACAAACACAAAGCAGAGGGCCCCCTCGCATGAACACCCAGCAGAAGCAAACAAATGAAGTGAAGGGTGTAGAATTTAAACAATTTAGCCCAGGAGGAAAAGAAGCCCACTTCTGCAGGCAGCTAATCCACTGTGAAATGCGCCTGCATCTAAGGGCAGAATCTCTAATTAAGCCTCGGCGTATCAGGTAAGGGTTTCCCTGGGCTTTCATTAATCACAACTTGCTGCCTAGAATTCTGTGAGTTCCAGTTTTACCAAATAGCTCCAATTGCAACCTTTTTTTTGGGAACACAGGAACCAGCTTTCTGTAAAGAGAATGCTGCCCATTCTGTGGCCGGGCAGGCATTGTGCTGGCTGAGGGTGCTCCACAATGGCCAGGCTGCTCGCGGGCTAATCTTTTGTTGAACAATTTAGCATCTCTGAATACGCTTGTTTTGCGTCAGCCAATTCAAACAGAAAGCCCGCAGCACCATGGAAGAAGAGGAAAGTGCACAAGTGGCCCCGTTTTCCCACCATTGAGGGCTGAGGGCTGGGTCCTCTATGAATACCAAGGTAAACCCGCCGGCCACCGCAGCCAGCCTCTTGCACAGCTGGAGAGAGCGCAGGGACTTCCAGCAAGAAGGCATTCCTGTAACTAATGAATTCTAGGGCGAAGCGGTGGAAGTGGGCTGGGATGGGGGAAAGCTGGGATATTCTGGGAAAGAGGAGGCCACAATATCTGTTAATGGTCCTCTTGATCATAAAACGGAACAGGCTCCCAGCTCGGCCTTGTCTGTGTGTGCCTTGCTGTTAGATTAAAGGAGAGAGGGTCCCTATAAAAATACAAATACCTTACGGCTATTGTAAACATAGAGACTTCTGAGCTGCATTAGTAAAGACTGGGCAGCCAATGGCCTGCTCTAATGTAAACTGCTGGAACTTTAGGCTGAGACATATATCAACAGCAGGCATTAAGACATTTGCATCCCATCCATCTAGCTACAGAATAAACCGAGCAATTAGATTTCTGATGGCTCAGTGTATACAATGTCTGCGCATGTGTTCGACCTCCACGAGGACTCTATCAAATTGTCCATCCTGTTCTAGAAAATGGGAAGCCCTTATAAGTGCTTGAAACGGGAACCCTATCTTCTCTGGGAGGGAACAATAACAGGTTAGATGAGAGAACTCGGTCCCCAGTTTCCCAGCCTACTCGCTCTAACTCTGCCTAAGTGTTCTGCTCTCTATGGCTCACGCAGCATCGCCCACAAGACCAGGTAAGATCCTCCAAGATCCCCTCACCTGCTGTAAACTTGTCTCTCCCCACTCAGAGACTGTAAGCTACATGAGAGGAGGGCTATGTCCTTGCTACTTGTTGCTATGCAAAACGGCACTCAAGAGGTTCTTAGGGGTCTGCATTGAATGGGAAATGAATAATACAACATACGTTCTATTTGACATAGGGTTCTTAAACCCTAAATAAATAACACTACTTCCTGAAAACAAACAAACCACCACCACCAACAAAACAAACAAACCACAACTGGGAAATAAAAATGAAAATCAAATTCAGAGCTTAAAAGAAAACCTTCATCCAAGTAGGCAAATGTACTATTTGGCATTCACTGATAAGAATTACAAATGAGTTAATTTCTCATTGTGAGGATACCACATTGATAGAAACACACCACTCTGCATGCACCCGTCTACTACATTTTGTGTGCACAGGAGCCTCAGGTGTCTCATAAGTACAGTAGAGATTGGGAGGCACTGTCTACCCTATAAGCTATTCCCCCTCACCATTGCACCTACTACAAAACCATAGTGCGCAAACAGGTAGGTGTTTTAGGAAGGCCAAGTGAGTATCCATGATGTGGAACTGCCCAAGTGGTTTTGCCCTAAAGCCAATAAGTTGTTCTCTTTTCTATAATAAACAACTTTGTCTCAAATACATGTGCAAACACATATACACCTGACCCAGGAAAACCTGTTAGACGATCTCTCTAGATAGGGTGAGGACCAGATGGAGGGGCTGAGGGGCCATAGCTGGAGAGAGGCATGCCTGTGAGCACAGATGAAAAGCAGTTTTCTTGCTTGAAGAACTATATCCTGAGTCATTCCTGAACCTGAATTGTAACCCATTGCTTTCCAATATACCCTACTCTGCGGGAATGCATGGCCATTGCAACACATTATTGAATGTAGCCGAGCCTGGGCTGGGCAGCTGGAATCAGAACTGGTGAGAAGTTTGGAGGGTGGAGGCACGTCTACCTGTGCCTCATAGGAATCAGCCGCGGGCAGCTGAGGTCAATCTTGATTGTCGTATCCCGCTAGAGGAGGTCAGATGCCACCCTCATGCTATTTTTCCTACCTTCCAAGCTCTAAAGCCAAGTCAGTAAGTTCAAAAGAAAGCAGAGTGGTAAATGACGAGCAACACAGAGGTAAATGCCGTAAAGAACTACCACTCATGTTTACCAGCTACAGTGGATAAACATAACAAAGGCCACACAAGTAAATCATGATAGCAAACGGTTTTCTCTCAGGCTTATGCTTACCTGACAATGAAATCAAATTCAGACCCTGCAAGCATGAGGACTCCAAGCAGTGTGGACACAGCCCCATCCAGAACAGGTGCAAACATGTGCTCTAGGGCCAGCACCGCCCTGCGGTTCTTATCTCCGATGGCCGTGAGAAAGGCCTAGAGAAGGAGAATTCATATGATCAGACACCTGGACTTCTTGGGGTCACCTCTCCAGTTGTGAGTTTTTGTCATTGAGGTCACACTAATGTTCTGCAGCACCTCGAGCCACCACCGAGGTTTAACAAGAAAAAAACGACAGGCTGTCAATTTGAATTAAGCCGATTCTAACTATGTGTGGGCACATCCCTGCCTCCTGCACACGTCTACAGTTCGCCTAGGTCAAGGTTGCTGTAAAAATCCAATGAAATCTTTACTGAGTAAGTTCAGGTACACCAGACAGTTTTAAGAGTGAGCCTCAGGACCATTTTCATGTGAGTTATTTAGTTTTATAGCCTGCCTAGTCCTACAGTGGGACCCCAAAGCAGGGAGGGTTGGCCCTGACAGGAGCTGTTCCTTCCTGTGAACGCTCAGGCTGCTCTGGGGTGTGTTGAGAAGAAAAGAGCTCAGTGTTCCGAGGTTGCAACCTCTAGTGTCTACTGCTTTACTCACAGAAACAACAACACAGGACTACAATGCATTATAGGGCCAAATGAATCCCTTCCTTTTCTACGCCGTACACAGGCATGAACGGTTCTGCTCCCTCACAGGTGACTACGTACGGTGTCCTAGTGTGTGCTGCCAGTTTCCATACTTGCCCATGACATATAAGCTTCCAATCTGTCTAACAACCTTCTAAAACGGGTCCCACTTACATATTTACTGGGTCTTTTGGGAAAGACACTAAGGCCAACCCAGTTCTCATTTCCTCTTGGGATTAAAGTACAAGCTGTTCCATATTCAGACCATGAGGGTTAAGTTTTGCTTATTCTATCACACACAACACATATTAACACTGAAACACAGCACGCTGACAGAAACACAGGGATTGCTTAACATCTTTTACTGAAGATTTCTGCGTCAAGTTTATTCTCTGTTTTGCAAACTTTCTAAGAGGCGCAAATGTCACTTTAATAGGATTTTTTGTGTAAGGTGTGGTAAGAGGACTGTGTTCCCTCTGTGGCTGGTACTCTTGCCACCAGCACTCAGTAAGGGTTTCTGCTTGCAGCAAGAAAGTGGCTCATGAATGGATCATCAAACTCTTTAAATCCCAAGAACTTATCTTCTAAGAACAGAGGCAGCAATAAGCCCCACTGTATTTATATTCATACAACCTTTCGGTTCACAGATCTACATAGACAGTAAACAACTCCACTGTGAAAAATTCAAAGGTTCTTGTTTGCAATTCTAGCTGACCCCTACCAGCCTCCCGCCCAAGTGGCTTACATTCGTATCAGATTGACTTGCATGTTCTTGACAGATCTGCACTCCTCCGGACCCCCTCTCCCCCCAAACTTTTGGTGACAAGGTATTAGAATCATAAGTTTTCCCTCCTCCCAGGCTCAATGAAGGAACATAATTTGAGTAGCTTAAAATTTTCAGAGGATATTGTTTCTACATTATTAACTTTTAAATATATAGTGGGGGAAATGATATATCTTCAACAAAATAGATATTTCTTCTGAAAACGAAAGTTTATCTTTTCAAAGTCGTATGATAATAGCTCTGAAAAGTGTCTTTCATGAACCTGTCTAAGGAATACAAAGAGGAGAAGATGGAGCCAGATGTTTAATTAAGCATCTGTCCAAAGAAAATCCATGCTAAAGACCGAAAAGTCAGGCTAAAACTACCTTAGTCCAAGTTCACGTTAAACTAATGCCCAATTACTAGTTAGGGCATTCCAAATATCAATATCCATGTAGCCAATACATATTTACCAAGTGCCTACTTTTAAGAAACTCCTGGAACATAGGTTAGTAACACCACTGTGGCTGGAACATTCATTTACACACTGCCCCGAAGCACTCTGGCGAGGCTGTGGGTTGTGTGCTGGGCTGCTAAATGCAAGGGTGGGGGCTCACACCATCAGTTGTTCTGTGGGAGAAAGAGGACGCTGCTGGTTTCCACGAAAGATTTACCATCTGTCCTGTAAGGTTGCTGTGAGTTGGCATTGTCTAGACAGCAGTGGTTTGGTTTGGTTATCAGGTTTCAGAATACAGAAACCCAGCAAAGGAAACAACATGATGTTGTCAAAAATATGGACTTTTTAGGTCTAAAATAATTATACATATACAATAAACGCATGCAGTGGACAGAAGTCTAGAATTAAAGTTCTCAGCACATTGGAACCCACTCCAGCTCTCATACTTTCTGCTGTCCTGAACTGGGAGCTGGGTGAGCATCTTTGGAAGAGCCACCTGGTAGAGGAGGAACACCTACACCTTTAAGTCACAGGCCATCAGGTGCTGCTTTGCCTGTAGCCAGCCTCATTCCCAAACACACCATCCGTACCAGGCCTGGGAGTGTGGTCTCATTCTATCCCCACTGTGTCACGGCTGTTTAAAACATTGCGTGTCTGCGTGCGCACACATGCACACCCATACAATCTCCTTTAGGGACAGATGCGATCATTTTAGAAGCTGGTGACACGAGTGACACATTCAATACAAGTAAAGTCCTTTCTGGCTCACTTTCCAACAACACTGCCGACAAGGCTCAGCTCCTTCCCCCCTCCATCCCTTCTCCTTAGGTTTCCCAGGCGAGAAAGGAAGCCCTCAAAATTCCAGCGAATCTTAGAGAATTCCTGAGTTCTGGAGCCTTTCCACTGTGACATGTGTTAGGAGGGCTCCCTGGAATTAAAGAGAATCAAATGGTTCCCACATGGATTCTAAAAGAGCGACAAGCAATGTTAATTTTCCGTAACGTTTTTCGCTTCAAACGTCTCCCATACCAAAGCAACGTGGACAGTGAATTCCACTCCGATGCCCACGGATGCAATCAAGATGACCACGGGCACGGCACTCAGCTTGATTCCAATGAGGCCCATCATGCCAAAGAGCTCAATCGTCATCAGAGCCAGGACCGTGACCTGTAAGGACACGTGTAGCAGTTAGTAACTGACCAGGGCGGGCACGAGAGAACCGACGGGGTCTCCTTTTGGTAGCTACAAGGGAGGGAGGTCCACGACGCAAACAGAACTGCAGTACTGATGGGCTGTGCGTTCACATGCGCAGCTCCGCTTTCTAACCCAACTCTCCCAGAGAGGAAAGGAAATTGGCAGAGCCAACTGGCAAGGCTGAAAAGGAGTAAGGACAGGAAGGCACAGTGCAGTACTCTAATGAAGAGTGCTTTTCCAATGTATGGTCTCTAGAAAGCAAATAAACAAATAAATAAATAAATAAAATCAACAGGAAAACCAAACAAGCTAAAAGATCAACTCCAACATGTGGGTCAAAAGTAGGATTTTGCTCTAAAGGTTTTCAACAGCTAACTTCTCGGTGCTGCGTTCCGAGGTGTCTCAGGGTGGGCTCAAGCCACGACCCTTCAGTCATCAGTCAAACAGGCGCATGAACCATGTCGACTGTATCCAGGGACCCTAGGACAGTCACTGGGAAGGTGAAAGAAACATGGACTCCTGGCTCGTTACAATTTGCATACAGTAAAATAAGATGGCTTCCTTCTGTTTGGCTCCAAACCACGAAGGACCATCCTTCACCTCCTGAGGGGCAACATGTCTATTTTCGGTAAGTCGCCCTCCAGCATCCTGAAGAAAGCTGATGGGCTGGGGTGACTGGCTTTTGTGTGGAGAGCCCAGTGGCTATGTGAGGATGACTTGGTAGCAAGCTAAGCAGGGAGGACAGAGCCGCTGTCATCAGCTGATCCGTGTCAGGTTACAGGGGGCCCCTTCCCTTTGAAGAAAGGTGGGGATCAGGGTGGACAAAAAAACAGTCCAGGCCAAGGCAAAGCTTTTCGTTGTCTTTGATGGGAAGAAAACCTGTGAGGGAGATTTTGGGGCTCTAACATTAAACTTTGGAAGCGAAAGGGAAAAAAAAGGGTTTCCTTCTTAGGAGTGAGTGGGGGAGGGGATGGTGGTGGTAGGGAGCAGTCCCTTTTGTTTTCTTTTAATCAGTTAATGAAAGATGAGCATCAATCGCTGGAGCAGCATGGAAATGCCTGCAGACTAAACATTTACTTTCTACCGTACCTGCTGCGCAGACGGTCAAGTGCGGAAACATGCCCTGGTCTCTGTTTTTCTACTTTTGGCATTTGGAAGGCCATCCCACAGTTCATGGAATTTAAACATTGCCATGACTTTATAGACTTTCCATGAAACTGAGTATAATCTGAGTATATTCTCTTCTAGAGGAAACCTGGGCGAGGGGGGCGGGGGGAGGGGGATTAACAATAGTAGTTTGCAATTTTCCCCAGGAGTAAACCTCATTGTTTGCCCACACTGCTTACTACTATCCCCACTCCTCCAACTATCCCTCCACGTGAAATGTAGAAGAATCTTACATGTATGACACTTTTGAATTACAAAACTAAAAAGGAGTTAAGTTATGCTTTTGAATGCTGTAATAAATGCTCGGCACTCTTACAGCAAGTGTGCTTAAAAAGTTCTCCTATCTTGACACAGAAATTTTAAGCTGTCAGAGAGGGGACCCAAGATTAAGGCCATTAAAGGCTCTGCCTCCACCATAAACCTCCCACCTGAAGTAGAAGAAATACATTGTGGATGATGCAATCTATACACCCCCCCCTCCCCGCCCCCGCCTCTAGAGGCCCAGACATAAACAAAATGTCCCGGCTACAGAAAGAGCTATGCTGAAAGGAATTTGACTTCCACAAAGACCCTTATAATAAACTCACAATGATCCCGGCAGTCCAGGGGTTCAGGAGGAAGACGGCACACACGAGAAAGGTGCAGGCCAATACCACGCTGATAGACAGCAGGAGCCAGTGGCGAAGTCCGATGTACTGCTCCCAGAAGAGGAAGGGGTAGCCGTTGGGGTAGCTGGAGACCCCCAGGCTGGTGTAGTTGTTACAAATAGTTCTGACTTTCTCAATCGCTTCCACAAAGTCCGAGGTGTCCCGCAAGCCGTTGAGGTAGAAAGGGAACTGAGCATATTCAATGGGTTCTGCTGCCGGGACTGAACGGAGAGGAAAAGCCATCAGTGGAAAGGCCCGAGGTGGAAGGGATTCTTGCCATACACAGCCAGTTAGGGATGTGACACCAGGGATAGCAACCTCAGGTAGTCAGAGGAGAACTGTGCTACACGGGGTTTTCAATGGCTGGTTTTCTTTCAGAAATCGATTGCCAGCCCATTCTTCCACCTGCGAACAGACTTGAGCCGCCCAGCTTTGGGTTAGCGGCGCAGGCTGAACATTTTCACTGCCCAGGTGTGTGATAGTTGGGACCAATTTCTAGCCTGAGTCATACCAGGTTTTTGTCCATTTTTACAAACCAATCTCCCAGGTACTCCATAATTACAATGAAAGAGAAATTCGATTTTGCAAGGAAGTCAATTGATCCCAGCCCCCCAAACCAGAGGGCAAATAAGACCGACGATAACCTCTGGGTTCTTTATAGTTGTAGTGGTTTAAAACACATTCCACAACAATTAACCTTTTTTTTTTCTTAACTTTCCTCATTTTTTGAGGGGGGGCGGCCTTGGGAGCCCACGGTCTGCATCTTTTTCCGTCTTTGACTTTAATCTTCTAGAAGCAGTCACTCTTTGTCCTAGCTCTAAACAACCTCAAAATTAAGTTGTGGGAGCCTTTTTTTATGCAACGGACACATGTGAAAATACTAAGTCTCAACGGTTTTGCTCAATCACTTTTGGGAATAAAATAACGTGAGAGTCATGCTTTTACTGGGGAAAATGCTTAACTTTCTTATCCTGTTAGTGATTCAACTGCCCTCCCTCCCCCCACCGCTTCTTTTCTAATGCAATGCGAAGAAGTCCTGGGCAAGTAGGGAAGAAATCCTCACACAACAAACGTTTATAGTTGGTGCCGTTGTGTGTTCCGACCTCTGGGGTCATTCAGTTGACTTGCTAAACATGATTTGCCCTATTATAATCTCAACTATAAATTTTCATTAAGACAAGCCTTGGCTGCTTGCCACAAGGCTCTGGGGTTTAGATACAGTGGAGCACAACTTCAACCAGGTTTACAAAAGGCCAGTCTCTTTTCTCACGTCGTCCCTGGACCTAATATCCCAACGATAAGCTACAAATCTCGCCCACATAATTGCAAACGAAATGCACGGAGGGAAATGGATGAGGACGTTACTGTGTACAGACTTTTCTGCTCTGCTTCAGACAGCTCTGACTGAATACAGTTGCTTGGTGGCTTACAGGAATGGCCCGACTTGCCAAAAATCCCCTCAATGCCGGAGTTGACAAAGTTAAGATAAACATCTACTCCCTGCGATAAAATGCTGTGATGGAAAATGACACTCAGCTCGGAGTCTTCCCCAGCGCTCCCGGGGAACAGCTGGCACGGAGCAGCGGTTCCTGACGAACAACGCGTTCACACTGAAGCACCAGGTGGAAACCAGAGACACTTATTTCTCAAAGTGATAGAGCACAAGGTTGTATTCCATTACACACCCTCATCTGTCTCCCTGAGTTTTAAACTAAAAGAAATATATTGTTCTGTTTATACTTTTGAACCCTGGATAGTGTCAACGGGCTGTTACTGGGGGAGGGACAGGGCTCTGTGGGCTCTACTGCCCCGAGGATGGAGGGCTACTCACTTCTCAGCCTGGTTTCTGGCATGTAGTCAGCTTTGTCGTGGACCCATTCAGGCCGGTGGGGCCGGATGTTGGCCTGGGAGGCGGCATAAGCCACGGGGTCATTGCTGACCCAAGCAGTCAGGTAGATGTAGAATGCGCTGGGATTAATGATGCCATCTGCATCCACCAGACGCTGTTTAGTCAACTGCAAAAGAAGAACAGAGGCCTTTCAGACGGGGCTGGGGGCAGGGATGACGAAGGCCCAGTCTTGCCTCCAGAGAAAAGCACAGCCTCGCACCAGCGTTTGCCACAAAGGACAGAATGCCCACTCTTGGAAAGTGTAGAAAATCCCATCAGAACACCTTTGATTTCTTTCAAGCTGCACTTATCAGAGGATGCCACATAATCGATGTGTTTACAACAAACACACAATCCTGCAGATGGCCCAGGAATTGACGGAACCAATTAAATCCGAATGCTAAAAAACCGTCTGCAGCCAAGATGGAGAGGGACAATCTGGAGAGACATATTTAAAGGAGGGGAAGGGGGGGGGACCTGGCAAGAATCCCCATACACGCCTGTGTGCAGTTAACCTCTGTTGTTAACACTGAGTGAAATGCCACCCATTAAATGGTGGAGAGCTATAAAAATAAAACAACATCTGTATAAATTTTGCTAACAGTTGCCTCCTATGACCTGTGTATTCAAAAAATGCCCATCGCCAGAAAGTGGAAGAGACTGGTGTGGAACCACGGTCCCGCCGGAAATCTGATTTCTGAGAGAGATGGTCATATCGGGCAGTAAAGGCCACACGACGCCAAATACGCTCTCTCTAAAGTGGGCCCAGTGGGCTTTGCTTAGGAGGAAAAGGCACACCAAAAAAAAAAAAAAAGGGATCTGTCCATATCCATATCCACATATATTCTGTTTACTTTAGACTCAGGCCTCCCTCCAAAGCTTTTGGTCTAGTTTCACAACATGAAAAACACCAGAGACAGAAGTTAACGGAGAAAGCATAGAGGGAAAGAGCGCGTGGAGGAGAGCAAGCACACTCAATTTCCAGGGGTCTGGAGTCATTTAATCCACAGGATAGGGAACAACTGCGTGTCTTCAAGGCATCTTTGGTGTCCCATGATGCAGCTGGAAACCTCTGTGGGCATAGCACACTTGCTGCCTCCCAGGCGGAGGAAACGCTATTCAGAGGCCCGGCCCGGTCATGTCTGCTCCATGGCGGACCTGGGCCCTAAGAACCAGGCCTGTGCTCTGGTCCTCGCCTGTGGGCTCTGGGACCAACTCTTTGCCCAGCATTGTCAAACCCGACAGCACAGAGCTTCACACTGCATAATAACTCTGAACAATGGACCGTGTCATCCTGTCCCGTTTCAAACCCCCAAAGAGGGGAACAACCAACAGATCTGGGGAGAAGCTGGATTGAAGGATTTTTGCCTAAAGGTGAACAAGGAAGGCACGAAGAGCAGAAGGAGTAGGACCTGTGGAAGCTGGCAGAATGACACTCAAACAGCCCAGGAAGGAGACAAGATAGCTAACCTCCAGGTGTCAGAGGAGATCCAGAGAGTGCTGGAGAATGATTTCCAAATAGAAGCTGCTCTGTCTCCTGGACACAGTCCTGGGACCTGCATTTCCTTTGACATCATTCATAGTACAGCAGTTTGCCTCCACTCCTTGGACATCACTTGTCCTTCCCCATCAAACGATGAACCCTTGTCCAATTTCCATCCATTCACTCCAAATGACTGCTACCCAATAAACCCACCCTTCTCAAATTTGAATATCAGACCAATAAGATAGATTTGAAAGAGAACAATAGGACATAGTACTTCCAACATAGGAAAAAGCATTCCTTGTCTCAACTACACTTTATTCCGACAATCATTCTGAATCATCTTCACTGGACAGAGCATGCAACTGAGGCAGCCTCCGTTGTTTGAGGCCACACTGTTGGCTGGTGTGAGGATCTGAAGTAGTGCCAACTTAACATTCTTCCTACACACCTCTCAGGTCAGTGGGCATTGCAAGTCTTCAACAGGAGGCCTCGGTGTGGTGTTGGTCTACCGGCCCCACCCCACCCCTACTCTGCTGCACAGTCATCCCGCGAGCTCCTGGGGAGCAGAGCACTGTGCATACCTGACTGATGTCGATGGGTTTATCACGGCTGCCAGTCTGCACCAGGAGTTTGTATGCAAGGACTCCATCATCTGATCCATTTTTGTAATTGTTGGGCATGATTTTTCCTGTCTCCCAGTCACTGTCAAATGCATCCTGGAGCCCTAGAAAAGGCAAAAGTGCGCAGTGCATTACAACGCCTGGTCCCAGGAAGGTGGGCTGAGGGCAGTGTGCAGAACACTAGCCCAAGCAGTCTGTGTTCGACCTCTGCTTCCTGAGTGTGGCGCCCCAGGGCCCTGGGGTAAGCAATGGACTTTCTCCCACCAGAAACTCACTCTCTGGAAGAAAGAGGAGGCTGTCTGCTCAGGAAACATTTATAGACTCAGAAACCCCACAGAGGTTGGCCTGGAGTTGGGAACTGCCTTGATGGCAGTTTGGTTTTTTTAAAGCACTTCAGGCTTCTAATAATTATTGCTGAGAGAGAGAGAGAGAGAGAGAGAGAGAGAGAGAGAGCGCGCGAGCACTCCAGCAAGTGAGCAGGGAGGGAGTCAGCTTTGACCCTGACCCAGTGCTCCTGGTTTAAGAAGACACACACCGTGCTCGTTAACTGTTTCATGCCACTGCTAAGCCACGGGTTCTTCAACAGAACCAGGAATTTTACTCAGACGGGGGAAAACACATTCAAACTTCTCACTTCAAACAGCAACGCAGCTGTTTCTCGAGCCCAGGGTGAGCGAACACGGTTCTGTCAATTTGTTCCATCTGTTTGACTTGTGGAGCTAACACAAGCTGTGGGATCTGCTGCCAGGTTGTGTAAAGATCTCGGCCAACACCTCTTCACTCTCCACCGTTCTCTTCCTCTCTACCAGCCTTCCTCCGGAGGCCCGAGTGGGGGCCAGGGGAGGGGCGGATACTGTGCGTCTGTGTGCGCACCGGGAAATACCTCACAGGGTAAATTTGGATCGGATTGAGAACAGGAAGCCACAGGCCAATACAAGGAGGCTCTGTGAGAACAGATGACAAACCACAAGCCAGGGAGGGGAAGGGAAAGAGCTTTCTAGGCTTGGGGGATGGGCGAGCGCACAGCCCACCACACACAGCTGGCTTGGCCTCTGTAATCAAAACCATCATTACAGACCTGATGGCTTGGCTACAGCTGTAAAGAGATAAGCATGTTGGAAGAGAAAACATGGCTTGGGTAACTGGGCCTTAGGGTCTGAGCGCTGGCTGGTTTGCACACTCTCCTGACACTCCCCCACCCCTCCCCCTCTCCCCAGCCACCTCCCAAGAAGAAACTCTGAGCCCAGGCAGCTCAGGAAACCACATCTTTTGAACAAAGCTGTATATACACTGGTTAGTAAGAATGGAGAAGGCTTATCGAGGGGAGAGGGTTTATTTCATCGGAGTCTCTGACTTGAAGGGCGAGAAAAAGGGCACTAACAGTCTGGTCAGGAAGGTGTACTCAGAATCGGTTAGCTCTCCGGGTTTGAAGTAAGGGGAAGGGATCTTCTTTAAGCTCTGGGGTTTGAAGTAGGGAAAGCTAATGGGCTTGGCCCCCTTTCTCCTTCTCTCTCACTCAAAAAAAAAAAAAAGAAAAGAAAAGAAAAAGAAAGCCGCTTGCTGACATTGCTGTGGGCATTGTTTTTATATGAACAATTTGGGATGAGGACCCTGGGCTTGGTGGTGAAAGAAGGCCCTGTTACAGGGTGAGTGTGGGGGAGGGGAGGCGAGGCAGGAGACCACCAAGGAGGGCTGAGCCCCAAACTCTAAGACAAGGGAGACATATGCACACCACAAGCTGCATTGAACAGATGTTATTTTATTACCTAGAGCCCCCCTCCCCTCCCCCCCTCTTGGTGAAAAAATAAACAGGAGAGGAAAAGTACCACTACTACCCCCACCAAAGGAGTGGCCTGCTCTGTTTTCCTCACCATAATAGAATTTTCATCACTTCATTACTGGGACAGATCCTTTAACCCTTTCCTCCTTGGTCAGGTAATCATCCTGTACTGCTCCCACTTCTAGAACACCGGGCTTTTCTTACTATACCCTCGTGTGCTTCCATTCCCACTTCACAGAGGAGTGAATGAAGCCCTTGGAAAGGCTCAGTCACTCAAGAAAGTCACAAGGCCCCAAGTTTCAGAGCTAAGCTTTGAAGCCAGTCAGCTTGCTTGCTGAGTCAGTTGAGCCCTTCCTTGCACTACACTGCCCTGGGCTCACTGCGGTGCCAGGCAGAATGTCGGAAGGAATGACTAAGATTAGAAGAACTCAGGTACCCCGTGACATCTCGTAGGAAATAGGGATTCCCATGAATCTGGAGTACACACTCACACACAGACACACACACAGACACACACACAGACACACACACACACACACACACACACACACACACACTTTCGGGGTCCTCTGGTGTGAGTGAAAGATCGATGAAATTTTCAGAGAAAGTCAACCTGGCTGGCAATTTGGTTGAGCTCCTCATCCATGCTTGGTGGCAGCTGGGGGTTCAAAAGGAGTGTGACACAGTAGTTGTCTTCACAAAGGTGAGTCTTTTCGTAACTCGTATATTTACTCAGTACTCAAAACATCAAGTAACAATGCCTGGCCTATTCCAAATGCCAAACTCGCTGCCATTGAGTTGATTCCGACTCACAGCCAAACCGAATCTGACTCCTTAACGGGAGCAGGAAGCCTTATCTTCCTCCTGGGGAGTGGCTGGGGGATTCGAACTGCTAATGTGGTTACAATCTAAATGCCTAACGTACTAGGACACTAGGGCTCTACATGGTGCAATTAAGTGTGGGAATACAAATCCTGGATGTAAAACATACTTCCTTTGCCTTTGGGCCCACTCTAGCACGTTCTATCCCAACATACATGTTGAGCCGGGACGTTTCTCATTATAAGGAACTTGTATTACTAATATTTCCTAGCAAAATGCTCTGAAGCAGACAAAATCAACCATCCTCAAACTGCCCGCAGAGATGGTGCCCTAAAAAGAAAATATCAATCTAAATTTTAGCTGCATGGTTTAGTGTGAAAGATAAATGAGCCCCATGTGTACATGATGCATAGAACAGCAAATCCATATTTGGCCATTCTTTGTAAAGACCTCCCCTGGCTACAGGAAGGGTGAGACTCAATAGAGTATTCCAGAGCCAGCTGCAACCTTCCCTTGGTTGTTAGTGACAAAGGGTCTACTTGGTCTGGGTGGGTGCTGCTCATTTAGCAATCAAAGCATGATGCAAATATACCTTTTAAAAAGAATCTCAAGTCCAGCTGCTTTAAGTCTTTAAACGGACGGAAGCATAAAGATAATTTATAATACTCTATAGAAAAGGTTAACTCTTGGCACTGCCTAGAGAAAGACAATACTTCTTTCCCAAGCTCTGCCTAACATGCTATACTGAGCATCCAAAGGAGGGCCTAATGCAACATGGGAATACATTCTCCAGTAACCCTCCTGGGCTCCGAGGCTGGCAGTGCACAGCAGATCTCTTTGTCATTGGTGGCAAGCTATTTGCATGTCTTTGGTCATGGGGTGGGGTGGGGGTGGGTGGGTGATGAAAAGCAGGGTATCTCTCAACTGTGGCAATTATCTGAAAAGTCTTGCTTTCAAAACTACTGTATGAATTAAAACCTGAAACAAACTTAAATTTAATCTCATGAGCACGTGACAAAAATAATACTGAACCAATACTGTTCTCTTTACCCTTCTTCCAAATAAAACAAGATTCTTCTAACACAAGTCAAGGCCGGAGACTGCGCAGAATGAAACTCAGTTGTTTACCATTTCATGCAATGCAAAGGGAAACTGGCTGCTTAACCTTGACATACGTACAAGGGGACTGCCTTAGGACCCAAAAAAGGCACTTGAGTCTCTGTTTAAACAAGCTTAATTAAGGGGGAAATTTAGACAATCATTTGGATAGCTGAAGCCGAAAACTTTGGGGGGACATAATTATTTGGGTATTTCAGTAAAAGTATTTTTGCTTAGATTGTCTGGAGAATTATCTTGATTCTTCACTTTGCGTGTGTCAACACAGAATAAATGAACAGCTGTGCTTGAAAATCGCTGAATACATTCATAGTTAACAGGAGAATATTTACCCCCCACCCCCACCCCACCCCGTTGGCGAATATTTCCTAGAAATGTTTCTAAGATTAAGTAATAAAAAGAAAGGGGGGAAAAAAGGGTATTCTAAAGCAGAATTTGATTATTTATGAAATGTGAAATGGGACTAAGTGTTTATAGGTTTATTTCAGATGCCAAATGAAAATATGATCAAATATGGAATTTTAAATCATATCTACAGACTATCCAAAATCTACTTGTGTAGGAAGCTGTAATTTGGCAGTGAATCAGCCCAGACATTCAATCAACACTTTGATTTCACTTGGTAACTAAATTAGCCACCACCCAAAACAGCACACTAAAAGCATTTGGCTCAATAGCTTATAACATACTTTCTCATTTCCCAATGTTTACTCATACATTCTTACAGAAGTGCCTAGAAGTCACTTATGATTTGCATCATTTTACAGGTAAAAGCCATCATTTTAGAAGTAAAAGTCGAGGCTTTCTTTCTTTTTTGGGGTGTGTGTGTGTGTGTGTGTGTGTGTGGTCAATGCAGAAAGTCTACATAAAAATTTGAAGCAAGAGTCCATGCAACATGTCAGCGCTCCGTGATCATCTAAAACAAAAACGGGAACAGAGGCAACTTGTCGACGCTGAACATACACAAGCCAAAACAAGACTGTCTGAAAAGGACAGCAGCCCTCCCACAGCACCTCACCTTGGAGCCAGTCTCGGAAGTAGTGCAGCCACATTTTGGGAAGCTGTTTATTTTCTTCCAACATGACGTACTTGACAGTGCTGAAACTCTTGTGAAGGTCGTAAAGTAAGTGCTGGACGTTGGGGTAGTCTGCCTTCTGGGTTACTATATACATGTTGTAGAAAGAGAAGTATTTGAACTGTGCAGCAATGAAGTCGTATTCTCTGGTTTCCCGGGGCACAATGTCTGTAAGGTCCAGCCCATCTCTCACGCGGGTGGTCCCATAAAGGCTGACGCCTAGCAAGGCCAAGAAAAGGAAGATGACCATGACCTGCAAGACAAGAAGGTACGAGATCAGACCCAGAGGACACAATCAGCGCTTCTTTCGGGAAGATGGACTGCTTTGTCTATAGCTCACTTTTTTTTATTGCCACACTGGCTCAGATTTAATGTGTAGGGGTCATTCTCCCAGAGAGAAAACCATACAAATCATAGGAGTTACATTTTTAAATGAGATCACAAACAACTAAAATGTTTTAAACAGAGGAAGTTGGCTTACATGTATAGAAACGAGTGCTACAGAGATTCACTACAATACAAGACATGCTCCTTCAAAGGCCCCTATGCACTCTAAGGAGTGACTATATTGGAGTCCTGAAATTTCTCACTTAATGATTCTTCTTCTTCTTCTTTTAAACAGAAAGGTAGAAGCAACTCACTGAGTTCTAGAGAGCCTGTCCTGTGATTTTTTTTGGAAGCCGTTTCTTGTTTTGGTAGTTACCTTGGCTTTGGGTTTCAAGAGGAAAGGCGCGTAGTGCTTCTCAGCAAAAGAGGAGAGTGTCCACTTGGTACAGGAGGGCTCTAGGCAGTGGAGGCTGGAGTCGGAGAACTGGGACAGCAGGTCTCTGGTGGAGCTGGTGCTCTCAGGGCTGTGGCAGCTGAGGGTGTCCTGGCTTACTGACACCGGCTGCACAGAGATCTCTGAGCGTGGCTCTGCAGTGGTGTAGTACACGTGCGTGTGGGGGTCGTACTCTGTGCGGAGCTGGACTGTGGACTGCATGGTAATCTGTGTCTCGTGGGCAAAGTTGTGGCTGCTGTAAGGTGGGGGGGGGCTGTAGTGGGCGTTGTCAGGCGTCTCCGTGTAGGCCTGAGGCTCTACCTGAATCACTCTGCTGACACAGGGGCTGAAAGAGGAAAGGAAGGTGACACTGAAACAGGGACACAGTACTCCCATTTTTCCCACGGCCACTTTCCAACTCTCTGACTCAGAAGGACATATTCACTGAAGGCCACAACCACCACCTGGTTTATCTGGACACCAGGGAGTCCAAGGAGCCGCCAGCGGATGGTTTAGTTCAAGTTTGGTTGCCAAAACAGGTTATATGTGGCTGAATCCTTCAATATCTAATTCCTAAAAATTATACTCAACCACGTGCATTTGTTTCTAGATGAGGAATCTTTAATCCTTGTTCTGTCCTACCCTGGAAAGATGACACGCTTTCAAGCACCAACCATACCCGAAAGAGAAGGAATTATCTTGTGTATCAGGAACCTGGAGGGTTGTGAGATTGTTCAGGTAAAGGAGGGAAGAAAGAATTCCGATATGCAGACATAGCCTCGGGAAGTGCTGTCCTATCTCCAGGACCTCCGTCCCACTAATGGAAACCCTATCCTTAGGTTCCCTTCCAGGGGCACTGAGGGAGGCAGCCTGATAATGTACCTTGTGAAGCAGCAGAAAATATCCAGTCTCCTGTCCTCTCGTCGGTACAAATCCATGCTGAGAATTGCAGGGAAGATGAGAAGAACCATGGCAAAATTGAACACCACCACTACGGCTGCCTAGGAGAAGAACAGCACATTTAGGCCACCCGTGCAAGTCCTCCTCATCAGAGATTTGCATTGAACACAAAGAGGCTTTTAAACATCTCACCCTGCCCCCCACTTTCCTCCTAGAGGACTTAAAAACCATTATTTCCCCTTAATTCCATCGTTTAGACACCACGGAGCTGCAGCTGTTGACGTGTGCCATTTGACTCCTTGGGAGCCTAGAGGAGAACGGACTCCCCTCATGGGTGGGGGGGTGGGGCTTTCAGCTTTACAGAAGCAGTGCATCACCTCTTGCCTTCTGTGGAGCTGCTGGTGGGTTGGCAGCCGAGAACTTCAGCACTGTACCACCCACACACCTGGAACAAAATCGCTACTGGTCTTGTTAGCGACCTCACCAAACCAGACTGATCTACAGGAGCACGATAAGAGATTTCACCTGAGAGGTTTTCACTTAAAGCAAAACGAAACAGTTTCCTTTCAGAGCATTTCTTAAGAGCTCATGTGGCCCTGGCTGGCCACTTAGAAAACATCTGTCTAAAATGGCTCGAGAATATCAAAATGTCACCTTTAAAACATGACATAAAATTGCAAACATGTCCCCTGAGGTTTTTAACAGGCACATTCCAATACAGCCTCAGGAGTCAACTGCGGTGTGTGTGAGCCCTGGAACATAAAAGGTCAAGGACAACGAGCAGGAACGACATTCCTGAGTGTGATTATAGTACGCCAATCCAAAGTCACTCCATAACCTAGAATAAACACAGGGCGAGAAGCTGCAGTGCTTTGGCATGTCTCCTGCTGGTCTGGTAAAAATTACAAAATTAGGCTGTTAATAGGAGTCAACTGAAGACAGTGGGAAGGGCTCTCCCGTTTGGGGTGGGGATAGGGGGACATGGAAAGAAAACAGAATAATGCACACTGGATTGCTTGGTAATCAAGAAATCATCCTTTTTCTTTTTAAAATTAAAACTACCATTTAGAGTCTTGTGAGATGTCGCAGGGGACTGTCTAGTTCCACTAATATATGGCAGGCGAAGTGGGGAAATGGCCACCAATGGTACCTAACCAAGTCAGGGAGAAAAACTTTTCAAAGGGCTTTCGGTAGTCATGGTACATGTATGTTCAGCATGCAATAACGCTAAGTCCCAGTTCTGGAAAGACAGCTGTAAGCATTGATCCCCTGGGAAGTCTATGGAACCATAGAATAACCAAAAGTCTCCACCTCAAAATGAACCCATTTTCTTCATCTACCTTGAAAATTATCTTATCAATAGAAAATATAAGCATCATGGTAATTTGCTACTGAAACGCATGATGACCTATGGATACCACAACCAAACATGAGTTATAATGAGAGGCTGGAGAAGAAGGCTGCTAGGTTGGTAGGCACTCAAAGCGAACCGCTGTTGCAAGAGTAGATTTGTGCCTAACCATGGCTGTCACTGAATGAAGGAAGAAATAAGAACCAGGATACAGATTCTAACAGCTACTCACAACCCACTACTCCCTTTTTCCTTTTTATTAAATTTTCTTTCTTTTTGGACAGAGAAGGTGAGCCAGGGTACCACGATAAGCCAGTGTTTAATAAATGAGATCTCGTGGAAACTCTGGGTATAGTTTCCTACAGTGACTCTCCAATGGTTTGGGATACGCATGCAAACCCAACAGTACTCATCGAGCCCAGTCTGGTGCTCACCTGGGGAGGACTTACTGGGCTGGATTTTCCAGAGGTATCATTAAAGGAGAGCTTGTCTTGATGAATCCTCATTACGTACTGAGGAAAAGGAGGAGAAAATGAGAGAGACAGGAAGGAAAACAGGCACGTGAGACAGGGAGAGAAAGAGTCGGAGAGGGCCAAGGAGGAGAAAAATGCGAAAGAGGCAGGCAGGGGAGAGGGTCCCACTGTTTAAAGACTCTGGAACAACTTCTCAATGCCAAGATCTCCTAAACTGGGGATCTTCAAATTGTCTATGGGGAAATGGAATTAAAAAAAGATCCTGGATTTTCCCTACAAATTTCTTGAAAGTCCCTTCGAATCTGAAGGATAGGGGCATTAAAAAGGGTGTGGTGTTGCTAGGTGCCTGCCTGGTCCTGTCCCAACCTCACAATTTTTCTGATCATTGAGCCCATCATTAAGAGCCTATTGATCAATCTCTTCACAGGCTTCTTTTGTGCAGACGCTCTACCAAAGACAATGGCATAGCAATCATTAATATTTTACTATCATTGATGTTATTAACATAAATATATTTGCCATTTTGTCAATCCATCTCATTGAGAAATTCCCTCTTCTTCACTAGCCTTATACTCAAACATAATGTCCTCCTTCAGCAGTGAGGAGCCCTGGGGGTGGAGTGGCTACACATTGCGCTGCCAACCACAAGGTGTGCAGGTGGAAACCACCAATCTTTCTGCCGGAGGAGAGGGCAAACTTTCTACTCAAGTAAAGAGTTACCGTCCCCTCACCCCCCAGGAGCAGCCCGACGCGGTCCAGAAGGGGCACCCCCCCAGGGGCAGCCTGAC